ACCATAAGTAAATTACTGGGGCCATGGCCCAATCAAATCAAGCAGGAACAGGCTCTCCAGGCAATAAAAAGGTTTCTGGAAGACAGTGATATCATCGACAAATACTAGCTTTTGAGCTGCTAATATGAACCTTGTTGTAAAATGAGTGAATATAGCAATGTGTGTGCATGTGTGAACAATCTGGTGACAATTGGTAAGACTCGAAGTGACACTTCATACCAAGAACATATCTGCTCTTCATTAAGTGTTCTCATCGTATGTGTTTATGCATGTGTGTACGAGTTGGTGTGTAGAACTAGTGCGTGTTATTATTTAAGGATCATCGCCAGTGTGAAGGTGGAGTCGCACCCCGTACCTACCTTGCTAGCGCGGCCCGCAGGTGACGCTTGGGACGTTCTGACTCTCTGCACGACGGTCCAGTCGCGTCGCTTAAGCGGAGTTGTGCTTCCGGAGGTTATGTCCTCTAAAGGTAGGCTGGCGGGCCGTCGTGCGCGGGGCGGGCGATGCTTGGGCGGTGTCTACGGGCTGATTGCTGTGGGGTCTGTGGGCGGTGTGAATTCAGCTTTAGACGGGTTTTTATTATTTCCCGTTATAGGTAGGGGAGGTGAGGAGGGGGAAGGGGGGGGGGGGGGAGACATTGAGCTGCATAGCTGCATCTATATGTTTGAAGTGTTTAATTTCTATGTCGGGAATATTCTCTTCAATGGTAATGGAGTAGCCGGTCACGCCGTGGAATGAGTAACATCTCCATTTATTATTTTTAACACATATTGAAGAAGAAGAATTTTCGAACTAGGTCTTCGCCGCGGATAGCGACTTTTTCGAAGGGACGCTGGAGCGGCTTTCAAACTTGGAAAAGCGGCGTGCGTTTGAATGTGGCACTCAAAAATAATGGGCGTAAAGTGTTGTTAGATGTCATTAGCAGGAATTACCTAATCTCATATTCAAATTTTGCAGTAACGCTTTGCCTTGGTGCCCTTCGAAAGCATGAGAGGATGCGAGGAAAACAAGCGAATGTGACGTCATCAGTTGATAATCCTTGCTCGCCTTCCTATTGGCTCGGAAATGCTGGCACTGACTTCACGACGTCTTCCACATCTGACGGGCGACGGAAAAATTTACCGCATGCCCTGCGGAAATGACTGCATGTTTTTGTTTTCCAAATAAAGACACGAAAAACTGAACGACGCTTACAACAGACTGTAACGCCGAAATGGAGCGCTTCTCTTGAGGATGAGAAGGGGAGGGTATTGAAGGGGAGGGTATACTCCTCCTCCCTTCTGCTCCTCCTCCTCCGCGTCCTCCTCCTCCCCGCGCGTTGCATCATGGGAAATGTCCCATAATGCACCGCGTAGAACCGGCGTGACGCCGCGAGTCCCGCGCGTTGCATTATGGGACATTTCCCATGATGCACCGCGCGGTTACACCGACGGCGACCGCGACGCCGTTCTAGCCGAAAACGGCCGCCTAAGAGCTGCGCTCTAAAACTATCGCAAGATGCTCTTAACTCTTTCGTTTTACATCGTAGCTGTTGTGGGAGACAACGAGCCACGCTGAACGTGGATGGACGGCCCCGTGAGCGGCGAGGAAGAGGAGAAAGGGACGCTCGTGGTAGGTGCGCGTGGACAGAGTTCGAAGGGCCGTGACGAACGGAAGAGGCGGTGCTGAACGAGCCCAGGCAAGACCCGGACCCCAGGGCAACCGTGGCCTTCCACAGCATCGACGGCACAATTTGAGTATTTATAAAGTGTTTCTATGATAGCGCTCTTTGTGTGACTTCCTCGGAGCGAGTAGAACTAGGCCTGATCGGGAATTGACAGGCGACCCACATAATTGGCGCTTCCAACGTGGGGCCCGATCAGTCTGCCGTTGTTTTTTTTCGCTCCCGGGGAGTCCCACGAATCGCGATTTCTAAGTTTAGGTTTGTTTTGTTTCCCCATTTGAATTTTTTTGTTACTCCGCTGGACATCAGTGTTTAACGTTCTGCCGCCATGTCCAGGTTACGGAATAAGGCCGGCCATCCCGAGGCCTCAACCCAGTCAGTGGCGGATATTGACTCAGACGTGGGAGAAGGCACGAGTGGGGAAGCGAGCGTTGCGGCAGCGCTAGAACCCCCAATTCCGGCGGTGAACACGGGAGACGTCAGCGAACTAATGCACGCCATGACGGCGATGTTCGCGACGTTTTCTAGACAGATGGGTTTGGCCCCAGGGGTGGTGAATCCCGCACCTACGCCCGTGCCTCGCCCGCGGTTGAGCGTGCCGACGCCGACCTATTCGGGCTACTCCGACGCAGCATCGGTTCACGATTTCTTGCAGGACCTAGACGCGTACATTGCCGCGTTGGGCGCGTCGGATGAAACGGCCCTGATACAGATCGTCCCAATCGCGTTGACGGATGACGCAGCGCGTTGGAGGCGAATGCAGAGGCCGTTCCTTTCGATGGCAGATTTCCGGACACGATTCAGAGAGGAATTTCTGCCTCCCGACTATGAGATGCGGATCAGAGATGAGCTAGCCAGCCGTACTCAGCATCCGGACGAGAGCCTCGTAGAATACATCCGCGCTCTCCAGGAGCTCTACTCCAGAGCCGACCCTACAGCGTCAGACGCGGAGAAGGTAGCTAGGGCGATCTGCCAGTGTCACCCTAGATTTAAACCCTACTTGCGCGGACGTGATTTCGCTGATCTGGAAGCACTTGCCAGAGAGGCGCGCATCGTTCAGGCGAGCTTGCTCGCCGAGTTGACGTATCGCCCCCCTCCACGCGCGGAGGAATCTCTGGAGCCGGGTTGCGCCTGGACAGGACGAGGCGCGGGAGCTTGCGACGACTCACGTACGCCGTACGTGGCCGTTACAGGACATAGGAGTGGCGCAACTGCTGTGCCCCGCGCCTTAGATCCCTTCGCTTTTGAACAGAGGCGCAGAGCAGCTAACGCGGGCTCCTCCAGAGCGCATCCCCGTAGGGGAGGCGGCGCAGCCGACCACCGCGGAGTCGCGAATCATTACGAGGGTCGCGGGAACTACAATGACCCCCGGCGCGACACTGCTTCGCGTGATGGTAGCGGCGGACGCTCAGCACACAATGGCAGGAGACAGGTCAGGTGCTATAAATGCAATCAGCTTGGGCATATCAAGCGTCAGTGCACATGGACGGCAGCTCCCCCCCATAGTTCTCAGGGAAACGGGAGAGGCCGGCGCCACTAATTGGACTTCCCGACTCGCGGTTGCCGGCCGCTGCCGAGGCCCCTCATCAGTCTGCCAACGGGGCTGGAGTTGCGGTCAGCGACAGGTCGGTGTTTGCCCCGTCGGCATGTCGAACTCAGGGTTTGACATCTGAGAAGGGGCCGTACGTGCGCGTCGAGATCGGTGGTAACATTTACTACGCACTAATTGACACCGGTTCGACTCTTTCCCTGATCGGCGACAGAGTCTACGAAGACTGACGAAAATAATCCCTGGAGAAGGGGAACAAGGGGGACAAAGGACAAACATAAATCTCCAAACACAGCTAGGTGACTGGTGAGCGACCGAAAAAATCCGCCTGGTCCGGGCATTGAACCCGGGACCTCTCCATTACAAGTGGAGCGCTCTACCAACTGAGCTAACCAGGGGAACCCCTGGTTAGCTCAGTTGGTAGAGCGCTCCACTTGTAATGGAGAGGTCCCGGGTTCAATACCCGGACCAGGCGGATTTTTTCGGTCGCTCACCAGTCACCTAGCTGTGTTTGGAGATTTATGTTTGTCCTTTGTCCCCCTTGTTCCCCTTCTCCAGGGATTATTTTCGTCATTCTTGTCCAGCTCGCTTGCACCTTTGCATTAAATTGCATTATAATCACTACGAAGACTGTCGCCGACGAGCACTTCACGTGCGGGAAGTTTCCACCACGCTGCGTTTAGCAGCAGGATCGGCTAGGGCACAAAGCGCTATACGCCTTCACCTTAGCCTCGACGGCAGTCGAAGGAGGCAGCGTTTTCTGTATCTGCCAGGCATGCAAATCCCTGTGATCTTAGGACAGGACTTCGTCTGCCGGGAGGGGATTATCATAGACTTGAAGAATAACGGGTACCACTATAATCCGTTGACTCCCCTTATCCCCTTTGCCGTCCCACCGAGTTTCGGTCAGGACACAGAAAGCTCACTCGTCGGATCACGAGAGGAGCAAACATTAGCTGCGCGAGTCGTATCGGGAAACGTGGAAGCGATTGTCGCTTCTTACAACGGGCCGGCAGAACAACGGCGTAGGTTAGCAGACGCCTTGCATCGACACGCAGCTATGTTTACCGAGAGGCCAGGACTTACGAACATTTTACAACACAGAATCGACACAGGAGATGCTAGACCATGGGGTTGTAATCCCAGACCGCTGAGTGCGCACAAGCGAGCTCTCCTAGATAAGGCTCTCGATGAGATGATAGACACAGGGGCCGTGAGGCCGTCACAGAGCCCCTGGGCTTTTCCGGTAGTCTTAGCGCCAAAAAAAGACGGTACCGCTCGTCTCTGCGTTGACTACCGCCGACTTAACGAGATGACACGAAGGGATTCATATCCCTTCCCATCTATTGAGTCCATCATGTACTCGTTGGGTAGCGCGAGGGTTTTCACTACCTTGGATTGTAGCAGAGGTTTTTTGCAGATCCAGGTAGCACCACACGATGTCCAGAAGACGGCGTTCACCTGTCACAGGGGTCTGTTTGAGTTTATCCGCCTTCCGTTCGGATTGTCTAACTCGCCATCGAGTTTCCAACGGCTTATGGACATCGTGCTGGGGGACGCGAAATTCAACTTTGCCATGGCATACATGGATGATGTCGTCGTATTTTCAAGGTCATTCGAGGAGCATCTAGCACACCTTGAGATTATCTTAAGCAGAATGAGCAAAGCGGGGTTAACGATTAATCCAAAGAAGGTCCAGCTCGCAGCCTCAAGGGTCAACCTCTTGGGTTTCGTCGTAGATGACGGTACCTTGAGGCCGAACGAGGATAAGTTGAGGGCCATTCTTGATTACCCACCACCGCGCGACGCGAAGAGCCTTCAAAGGTTCCTTGGAATGGTCGGTTTTTATCGGCAGTTCATTCCAGGGTGCGCTGGACTCACACGGCCACTGAACCTGCTGCTCCACAAAGGTTCAAGATGGGCCTGGGGCGGAGAACAAGAGGTAGCTTTCTCTTCCCTCACGAAGGCGATAGCAGCCACGGCCAGCCTGTGCCTGCCAGACCTTAACCGTCCGTTCGTGGTACAGACCGACGCGAGCGACTACGGGGTCGGTGCGGTGTTATTGCAAGAACATGACGGACAGCTGCGCCCGGTGGCATTCGCCAGCCGAACCCTTACACCGCCAGAACGCAATTACAGCGTGACGGAGAAGGAGGGGCTGGCCGTCATGTTTGCTCTAAAGAAATTCGACCTGTATTTAGACGGGACCACCTTCGTCATTCAGACAGACCACGCCGCTCTCACCTGGATTCAAAGGTTGAAAGAGCCGGCGGGGAGGTTAGCTCGGTGGGCACTCACTTTGCAGCGATACTCCTATGCTGTCGAGTACCGAAAGGGCTCCACCAACAAGGTTGCAGACGCACTTTCTCGGGCGCCCCATGATAGTGGTTGGAAGGAGGAGACGCAGCCAGGGGATTGCGAGAGACGAGCTTCCTGCGCGGCCACTCATAAGCGAGACAGCGGGAAGGGATCGATGCAACAGGAGCTCGTCGCAGTGTTAGGAGGCCGCACGAGGGAACAGAGGATCGTGGCTTGGGATGAAGTGTTGAGCAAGGAAGAGCTTGTCGAGGCCCAAAAGGCAGATGGTTTTTGTCAGCGGGTGTTGGGGAAAATTGCGGAAATAGCAAGCAACACCGGGAACGCTGGCGGTCAATTTAACGAACATATTGATTCATACTTGCTGGGTCAAGACGGCTTATTGCTCCGCTACATTCCAACAATCGACGACGAGGAGGGGAACGACTCTCCGTTCAGGGTGGTGATTCCTAGGAGGCTACGGAGGCGGTTTATCGGATACTTCCACGACTCGGCTTTAGCTGGTCATGGCAGCGGCAGCAAGACTTTTCAAAAGTTATGTCGCGTCGCGACCTGGCCGGGGATGAGACAGGACACACTCCGATACGCCCGTAGCTGCCCAGCCTGCCAGAAAGCGAAGCCGCGAGGGGGAAAGCCCCCAGGCCTGATGCAGCCTGTAGTGAGTCACTACCCGTGGGAGATGGTTGCTTGCGACATCATCGGCCCACTTCCAAAAAGTCCCCGTGGGAACCAGTATTTATTGGTAATAACCGATCATTTCTCAAAATGGGTGGAGTTACACCCGCTGAGGAAGCTGGTCTCGGAGCGCATCTGGGAGAAGTTGTTGGAAACTTTCATGCGCTTCGGTACACCCACGTGTCTCATCAGCGATAATGCTAGCTATTTTACCAGCAGAGTGTTCACTGACTCCTGCTTGGCGCTAAACATAAAGCACAAAAGGACGACACCATACCATCCTCAGGCTAATATCACTGAGAGAGTGAACCGAAACTTGAAGAGCATGCTGATCACACTAACGGAGAGACACAGGGACTGGGACGAACACATTGTCGAGATGGGTTTTGCAATCCGGACGACCGTGAACAGATATACTGGGTTAACGCCTGCGCTTCTAAACTTGGGTAAGGAGCTATCGTCTCCGCTGGAGAACGGGTTACGAAATAACCAAGGTTCGACAGAACGCCCACTCTCTAAATACGCGGCGGAGTTGAAAGTTCGCCTTTCGAATGCGTTGCACGACGCCAGAGAGAACCTCGTTGCAGCAAGGATCGAACAGGCGGCCCAGTACGATAAGACTCATCGTCACCTGGAGTACAAGGTGGGTGACTTGGTCCTCAGGAGAACCCATCCTTTGAGCAACGCAGCGAGCGGATTCGCAGCCTCACTTGCTCCGAAGTGGGAAGGGCCCTACGTGGTAAAGGCACGACTGTCACGTCTTACCTACAGGCTCGCTCAGGAAAATGCGAGCGAGGAGTCTGGCCCGGTCCACATCACAGACCTAAAAAAGTACCATCTTCGTGATCGGGATGACGATGAACGAGATCAAAACGAGGAATCCTCCGTTCCGCGTGACTCTCGCGCGCGACCGGCAACGCGGCCTAAGCGCGGTAGCCGAACAATGGGCGAACCCGTCGGTGAGAGATACGACAGGTGCTCTGCGCGGCGCTATAATCTGCGGCCTAGAACTTGATCTAATCTTTGCAAGATGTTAATAGAGCTTGTTCTGTCCAGAAATGCCCCCCGGAGGAACCAGAATGGGCGGCGCCATCCGGGAAGGCGACCTTCCACTTCCCGGGATACCGGCGGAGCCAGCTGGCCCAACTCCCAGGGTGGTCAACCCTTCCGGCAGAAGACCAGTCAGCCCAACGCACCGGGTGGCCAACCCGTTCGGCAAGAGAATGGCCAGACAAGCCGACAGGGTGGTCAACCCGGTTGGAGGGGGAACGGCCAGACCAACCAACAGGGTGGTCAACCCGGTTAGCAAGGAGCAAGACGAACCAACCGTCAGGGTGGTCAACCTGGTTGGCAGAGACGGGGTGAGCAATCCCGACGTCGACCACGTCAACGAAGGCAGGGTGGCGGAGACGCGGAGGACCGGAGAGTCCCAGGGACACGCTGAAGGACGAGGTGCTGAAGACTATGCCGGTGCAGAAGCAGACGCGTGCCGGCCAGCACACCCGCTTCAAGGCCTTTGTGGCCATTGGGGACTTCAACGGCCAGTGCTCCAAGAGCTCCAAAAAGGTGCCAGTCCTGCCATGTGCTCCCAAGAGGTGGCCACGGCCATCCTTCAAGCCATCATCCTGGCATAGCTGTGCGTCATCCCCGTCCGTAGCGGCTATTGTGGAAAGAAGAGCGGAAAGCGCCACACCGTACCCTGCAAGTTGCGTGCTGATGCGGCTGATCCGGACCCCCGCGGCACAAGCATCGTGTCCGCCCCAGTGCCCAAGAAGCTGCTGCACATGGCGGGCATCGAGGTCTGCTACACCTCGGCCCGCGTCTCGACGGCCACGCTGGGCAACTTTGCCGAGACCACCTACCTGGCCATCCAGCAGACGTACAGCTACCTGACCCCGGACCTGTTGTGGGGAGTGAGAGCTCATCAAGTTCCCCCACCAGTTCACCAATCACCTGATGCACGTCCACCGCTACCAGCAAGGCGGAGATGGGCGACTTGGAGTCCAGCGACTCGGTCCAGGGACTCCGGATGCTCCGGACCCCCCCGGAGTTTGAGGCTTGAGGGGAGGGGAGTGTGGGAGACAACGAGCCACGCTGAACGTGGATGGACGGCCCCGTGAGCGGCGAGGAAGAGGAGAAAGGGACGCTCGTGGTAGGTGCGCGTGGACAGAGTTCGAAGGGCCGTGACGAACGGAAGAGGCGGTGCTGAACGAGCCCAGGCAAGACCCGGACCCCAGGGCAACCGTGGCCTTCCACAGCATCGACGGCACAATTTGAGTATTTATAAAGTGTTTCTATGATAGCGCTCTTTGTGTGACTTCCTCGGAGCGAGTAGAACTAGGCCTGATCGGGAATTGACAGGCGACCCACACTGTTAAGGGTTAGTTTCCCCAGTATGGTGTCCGCGGACAAACAAATGTGTCACAAAACTCCAGACAGCTACCGCCATCTACGAGCGACTGCGGCAATTAGACAATCGGCTTGCCGGTTGTCTGGTTGCTGTTGTCGCTCATAGATGGTGGCAACCTTTCCAGCCTGTCCACTCTGGTTTTCACCTAAGTGGAAAGGCTGAATTTTTCTAGGCGTCGTCTTAGAAGTCGCCCTCGAGGTCGTCCGAGAAATTGTCTTTGAGGTCGTCCTAGACGTCGTCCTTGAAGTTTTTCTTGAGATCGTCTGAGAGGTTGTCCTCGAGGTCGTCCTGAAAGTGATCCTTGTCGTCCTAGACGTTGTCCTAGGAGTCATGCTCAAAGCCGTCCTAGACGTCCGCGAGTCGTCCTTGAGGTTGTTCTAGACGTCGTCCTTGAGGTTGTCTTAGACGTCGTACCTGAGGTCATCCTCTAGGCGTCGTCCTCGAGGTCGTCTGAGAAGTCGTCCTTGAGGTCGCCCTAGACGTTGTCCTTTAGGCATCGTCCTAGACGTCGTAAAGATGACAGCTTCGATGGTCCTCCATCTTCACGTGAAGGGGAAAGGCTCTACATTTGTTTGTTTTAACTGCCTCAGCTTCCATGTCACTTAAGCTGTCGAAATCAACGTGTTTTGTTTCTTTGTAGTACCGCTCTTTAGGCCACGTGCTGTTTGTACACGCGAAAGAAATATTACCATTATAATCTCGATTTATAAGCTAAAAAAGAAAACACTTTCTAATTGAGAATTGCCAAATGTAAGCAAATATTGACGATGAGAATCGTGATTAAAAATCGAGAGTCTATCGATATTTTTACTTGGCGCCTAGGGATGACCGTACGATCTTGACGCTCGCATACCTAAACACAGAAACACTTCAGCTGGACACACGGACGAAGTAAAAATGTGAAAGTAATTTAAAGTAAAAAACCTTTCAGCTGACGAGGGTAGAAAGTTGGGCAAGTTGGTGATTCATAATGATTAAAAAGCGCGGCAGGACAACGGACACAGTAGGAGACACGGACACAGTGGTGACCACTCTGGTGAAAACAAGAGTGGAAAGGTTGCCGCCATTTATGAGCGAGGCCGGCAAGCCGGTTGTCTGGGAGCCGCTGTCGCTCATAGACGGCGGTAGCTGTCCAGAGTTTTGTGTCGACATTTGTTGGATACCGGACACGATCCTGGGGAACCTAGCCCTTAACAGCTCCACTGTAAAAAAAATAAATAAATTGCGTTTACAGGGCCCGTGACAACACATACCCCATCCCACAAGGAGAGGAAAAAAAACCAAGCCCGCATTTCACGGCACCTATAGAAAAGAAGGAATGATGTGTAACACTTTGGCGGAATTATCATAAATAATTGTCGTGGTTAAGTATTGCGTGACAATTTTCGGACAATAAAGCACTTCGGGATTAAAAATAGTAGCGTTCTGTTTGGAAGAACCAATCATTATGTATGAAACCTGAGACCGCGCGAGGAATATCACCTTTCAAGTAAACAAGACGCAGGAGGAGAAAGCCTCCGGAGGTTCTCCTCCTGTGTTTCCTGTGTCGGGCTTGGAGGCGCTGCGATCGCAACTAGCTCGTCGCTGCATCACATTCTGCCTTCCCACTACCTTTGACAAGATATTGCGGAGTGACATTTTTAATGCGAAAGCATAAGCTGTCCCATGGAACGAGCCGACGTCATCAGTTTGGAGCCCGAAAACGACACCTAGTTTCCGCGATCCCAATAGGAGCGAAGTAAAGCTGATGGATTTTGCCTTCCGTCCCATTGGCTGGCGCGCGTCAACGGGGCTCCCATTGGCCGCTGCGCTTGTCAGTTTCTACGTCCGCTTACCCCATGGTGCTGCGTGCCCAGGAAGCACACGCGCTGGGCGGCGACGAAAAGTACGCAGCAGACAAAAAAGGGAACGGACGAGCAGACGACAAAGGGAGCGGACGAGCGGCTTGCATGCTTTCGGATTCACAACTCATAAGAAGTGCTTAGGTGTACCTCGAGCTTTTTTTTTATTTCTGCTTGTTCAAGCACTGCAGTCTTTCGGACGAATTCGACACTATGCATAATTTTCATGGCGATAAGTGTTTTTTTATTCTTCGGATTTTTCGCTTTTCTCCTAATGCACAGAACCCCATTCGAAAGTTGTCAGCGAGCCTCGTTGCTTTCTCGTGACGTCAAAGCTACGAGTTGGCGCATGGGCAGTGACAGTGAGCGACGCACGTGCTTAGCTTAATGAGACGATGGAAAATATGAAAGCCGTTTACAACTCCCTGTAACGCCGAATTAGAGCGCAGCTCATGAGGAGGAAGGGAAGGGTACTGAGGGGAAGGTATATCCTTCCTCCCTCTTCCTCACCTCCTCATCCTGTCTGCTACTCCTCCCTCTGAGCGGCGTCGCCGTCGTCTCAAGTGGGTCACGTGACCTCACGGGGTCACGTGACGTCACCGAGGTCACGTGACCTCACTGGGGTCACGTAGGGTGACCACCCGTCCCGCGAATTGCGGGACTGTCCTGCATTGAGGGCTCGTGTCCCGCGTCCCGCAAGAAATACCAAAATCTTTAAAATGTCCCGCATTTCGCATTGTCGTAGCATTCACTACTCAAATTATGGCGCTTCTGAAGAGCGGGCCACGGAGTAGCGCGAAGGTGATTAATAAACGTGTGAATCTCGATGGTGTGCCATTTTCTATACAAGCACTGCGGAGTGCGACCATCGTTCTTGCAGGAGACGAACGCGCATGTGCCGTTGAGCCTCTCCCCTTGGTGGCAAAATATTGCGAGTGAAAATTGCTCTCCTAAAGTTGAAAATTAACTAGTGTAATTGTATGCAAATCTTACTGTGCAATCCGAAAAGGTTGTTCGGGAAAGCTTTTTTTTTTTTTGGTGAAGACGGCCACACAAGGCAGAAAACCTGCAACTCACAAAGGTCGAAAAAACAACACAAGGTTCTAATTTTATGCAAGAGCATGTTAGTATAAGAGTAAGTATCGTCAGGAAAAAAAATGCCGTAAAAGATTTACTGTTTCTTATTTCCCTTTCATGCATTTGGGGTCTGCTGCAGTCGATTTTTATGTTTTCGACTTAGACACACTAATGCCTAAGGTGTATGTCTTAGACATACAAATTAGTCTTACAGCTTAGACATACAACCGTAATAAAATATTTGCCATTACAATTACACACGAAATGTATCACTGTGACTGACAATAATTTTAGCTTAATTAGAGAGTTTTAGTAGATCGTTCCGATACCTCCGATAGCCCCGATAACGATACTATGCATGCGCAAGGGAGGCGGTGGCGGAGTATCGGGTATGGTTATCGGAGTCATGGGAACGATCTACTAAAACTCTCTATTGCCGCCACACAAGTGTAGGTGTATAATATGCTTTTGGACAGCACAGGATATCGGGGAGTGCGTGGTGGCGAACTTTTTAACACGTTTATCTTCAGTCGGGAAAATACCGTCCTCCTCTTACTCCCCCCCGCCTCCCCCCCCCCCCCCCCCCCCCCGTCAGGGTGTCCCGCATTTCGCCTGAAGGAAGGTGGTCACCCTAGGGTCACGTAACCCCTATGAGGTCACGTGACGATAACGATGACGCCATTAGTGAAGCCAGTGATGACGTCATCAGTGCCGATGCCGATACCGATGAGGTCATCAGTGACGATAACGATGCGGATGCCGATGATGCCATCAGTGACGTCATCAGGGACGATGACGATGACAATGCGGACGCCGATGACGTCATCAGTCACGTCAGTGGTGACATAATCAGTGACGATCCCGATGACATCATCAGTGGCGTCATGCGTCCCATAATGCACCGCGCGGTTATGCCGACGGCGACGCCGACGCTGACGCCGCTTAAGTCGGAAACGGGAGCCTAAGAGCTGCGCTTTAAAAGCCCCATGAGAAGATTCCGCCGTTAGTAGAAGCTTCCGACAGATGCTATTCCTGTCGTCGCTTCAACAAGCCGGCTAGCAGCAGACACACCTTCCCCTTGGGCCCCCTCTCTTTTTTTATTGTTTTTTTTTTTGTGGTCTTTACGGGAAAAGAAGCGACTTGTTATTCCGAAATTCAGCTTTAAAATCCAGTGCTATAAAACGGAGGCGTGAAATATGGGCGTGTGTATGTTTATTCAGCTTGAGCTTAGTCTGCGTCGACGGGCGACGAGTCTCCCAGCTGTAGATGAACAATTTAGCCAGTGCAGCGCAACCGGTAGCCTGGA